TCACAACGCAAACAAAATGTTTTACAAATGGTCACCTATTAATAGTAGTAGTAATGATAAAAATGATATTGTTCTTTACTTAATGAGCATAGAGTTCTATGCCAGACACTGGACTGTTGCTTTGACAGATACTATCTTAAGTTTTACAATCATTATGAAAAGGAGGTATGGTTATTTCTGTGCACAGGTAGCATTAAGCTGGAAACATCTCAGCTGAGATGTAATAACTAGAGCAGGTTGCCTGAGATGGAAACTCTTTCCACTTCTCAAGGCCATTTCTTTGAGAAATGAGCTCATGCTCTTGTTTCCTCTAAGGGGCTGTACACGAAAATATTTTGGTGCCCCCTAGAGGTCATCTGGGATGTGCAATTGTCAAAAGCCTGGGAAGGAGAAGCTGAAACCAACCAGCAGGTACCTTCTATCATTGCCCTCTTGATTCTCCATACTGAGGTGGTCATCTACAGCCAGAGAGTAGCTCCAGAGAGCAGAGGTCGGTACTCAAACTTCAATAAGCATCAAAACCACTGGAGTGCTTACCAGAATACCGAATTCTGACTCCCCACCTCTAGACTTTCTGATTCTGTGATCTGAGATGGGGTCTGAAAATTGATATTTGTAATGACCATTCCTGGTGTTTCTGAAACGGCTGAACCAGGGGCCAACAGTGAGAAACAGCATCTTCCAGAATCATCTCAAAGATGAAGCCAGCTCCAGACGCTAGCTGAGTTTCACTGTTCTTGGGATGCTAGTGCTGTGGATTTCAGCTCTCACCATGTATTTGATGAGCATGGCCAGTGTTTAGAGATGTGTACATGTGTATTGCACTCATTCCTGTGATGAAGATTCCTTGATTCCAGGAGTGCCAGAGGTTCTAGAGATATAGTTGGTTGTAGGAAAACCCCAGTAGGTTTGAAGTCAGAGACCTCAGGTTCTGGTTTCAGCTCTGCCATATATATAAGCAGACCTAGTTTAAGACCAACATCTTCACCTGAACTCAAAGAAAATAAAACCATCAAGAATACACCGTGCTCTTGACTCTATCAAATAGTGTGACACTTAGTAGGTGTGAAACAAGAAAATAGCATGAAGGCAGTCAATGCACAGTTATTCTATCACTTTCATGAATTTGATTCATGCTATTACTGTTATCTACCTTTATTTTTTAAACATAGCTATGTTTTTACTGATATTTATCTCTTTTATATCAATTCTTTTCTTATTTGTTCCCTCCATATTTCCCAGTTTCTCCAAAGAAAATGCAAAGTGGGAGAAATATTTTTTTTTTTTTTACTGTACAGATTTGTAAATGTATACATTGTTTCTTAAGTTATTCTACAACTGGATTTTTTTTTTTTCTCTCACCATAATAGGAGGTTTGAATGTTGATTCTGGTGGATTCCACTTCTGGTTAATCCAGGTCAGGATTTATGGAGACCTCATGTGGTGACAAGAGGCACCAACAGAAGGTTTCCTCCAGCATGAGTGCAACAGAGTCAAGAGAAAATCAAAACTCATTTGGGAGCAAAATAATCCAGAAAGAATTAAGACCTAGAAGTGAATGGTACTGCACCGCACAAGGCCTCCACAAATATCCTGCAACAATACCGAAGAAATAATAGCAGAGCATCTTAAAAAATAAGAAACCTGATTATGCATGTCTAAATTCCCCTTTATTAACTGAAAAGTTGGTGACACCACAAAATTAATGTGCCAGTTTTCTCAGGAATTACATTGTTCCTTTTAGTTGTCTGAATGAAATCCTTTGGACATATCTTCTTATTTAAATTTATATCAAATTAAAATATATGTTTCCATAGGTTTGCGGCTATGAATGTTATTTTCGGTTCTTGGTTTTACACAGACTGGAAAATGAGTCAGAGAAAGAATCAAACTGGAATTCATGTCTATGGTTTTTATTGATGCAATGATATAAATATTACTTATGAATATTTGGCATGCAGGATATGTTTTTGCAATTAAAATGGAGAACAATAATTCTGTGTGATGTCAAAAACTGAACACACATCTCGTTGTTGAGAAGGTATTGCAGTTGTGAAATTAACTAGTGGGGTAGTAAACAGTTTAACTACATAATTTACTGGTACAGTTGAAAGAAAAGGCACAGGAGTGGGGAGGTGGGTGGAGAACACTTTTCATCAGTGATAGGTACTGTTCATTATCTCATTTCCCTTACAAGAAAATGCAGCTATTATGTCCACTTTCTCCTTAAGAAAGTTACCTAACAGACCTTTAACCTAAAATGTAGAAAGACACACAAGTTAATAATTTTTAAATGTTTTGAAGTCTTTAAAAGGACAGAGCAATATGAATCTATGTAATTAAAATGAGTTAATGCTAAGGCTTACAATTCAGTCATCTCATGGGTCCCTATCTTTGAAAATGTCCTCAAAATGATTTTCAGTTTTTAGAGCAAAGTGACATAGGTGGAGGCAGACAGAATGAAAACACAATATTGCACATGTTAACTAGGAAAAAAGTTAATGGGAGAAGTTCAGATGGAGTATATTCTTGTGCTAAAGAAATGGCTCCATTTAGGGCACCTACTATGTGCCAGGCCTACTACAGCTGCCAGAAATACAAAAAACGAATCTGGCAGGATCTCTGGCTGTCAAGGGGGTGACAGATAATTAATGATAAGACAATGCTCCTGTGGTGAGGCCATGGTGAGGCTGGGGGCTTGCACTCCTTCTGTGAAAGACCTGTCCGGTGGCGTGGGACCGGGAATCAGAGCTGAGATGTCTTAAATCCAAGCTCAGAAACTGACTCCTTAGCTGTCCTTTCAAACCCACAGTGACGCCGGTTTTTGCTGGGAGGTGGGGGTGGGGAAGCAGGCGCGTGTAGTCACATCTCACCGAGAAGACAAGAAACAACAAGGAAATTAATTGTCTTCCAAAGCAAAGCGGTGGTGGGGAAACCAGCCAGGACTTCCCTGAAATAAAGGAAACCTTCTGCTACAGCGTGCGTTGCTAGGGGATTTATTTTTTCCCCTCCCGCCCCTCCTAAGAGAGTAAAATCCCACAGACACACGAAGCCCTTAGGGTTTAGCGAGCGCATTGTGTGTGGGTCTACCGAGCCGGCTGCAGCAGAGGGCGAGCCGGTCCAGAGAGGGTTAAACGGAAGGAGGCGGCTGGGGGATGAGCGAGCCTGGCAAGAATGTTGAAAAACACTGTTTCCCAACTCGCAAAAACTCTGAACTTTCCAGCTCCCCAAAATACGCCCGTGTGTGTGTGTGTGTGTGTGTGCGTGTGAGCGCAGACAGCTCTATTTCGGTGGCTTTTTTGTTTCTGCCATTGCACATCCTAATCTCCGTCTCGCTCTGTCTCGCTGCGCTGCAAACACTGAGCAGCCCCCTCCGGAACGCGTGGCCCGAGCCGCCGCCGCGCGCTGGCAGCGCTGTTTATTTATGAGCCGCGCGCAAAGCCCGGCTCCCCCCGTGCGCCCGCGGGAGCCCCCAGCGCCGAGCCCGGGTCACCCCGGGGGCCGGGAGCTCGGGGCGGGGTCTGGGGCGCCGCCTCCCCGCGCCAACTTTGCGGGCGCGTGGGAGCGCGGCGCGCGGGGGGCGCACGGAGACGCGCCCCTCGGCCCGGCCGCCGGCCTCACCTCTCCCGGGCGAGGTGCGGGCTGCGCGCGGGTCCCCAGCCGGGGGGCGGGCCCGGGCGGCGCGGGGCGGGGCGGAGGGTGGGGGCAGCGCTGGGTATATAAGGCCGGCGCCGGCTTAACTTCTGACTTGGGGTTATTTATTGGGGGAACTCGCGGGCGGCGGAGGCCGGCGGGGGCGCGTTGCAGGCGGTGGCGGCCGCGGGCGGCGCTTCAGACCAGGCGGCGGCGGCCAGGGATGGGAGCGCCGCGGCTCCGGGGCGCAGGACGGAGCTGCCGAGCGAGCCGGGCGCGGCGGGCGTGCTGAGCGCAGAGGGCAGCGCCCGGGGGCCCGCCGGCGGCTCGGGGGGCGCGGGCCGCGTTTTTGTTCTGCAGCGCTCGGCGCCCGGCGGCCCGAGCCCACGACTCCGGGGGCTGCCCGCGGCCACCTTCCCGCAGCGGAGCGAGCCCGCGGGCGGCCGCGTCCGTCCTATTGTTTAGACACTTGCCAGGAGCTCGGAGCCGCGCGGCCGCCACCCCAGCTCCCTCCCCGGAGCGCGCGGCGCGGGGAGGCGCCGGGAGCGGGGAAGGGGCTGCGAGGAGCCGGCGGCTCGGGACGGCGGCCGCCGAGTCAGGTGCAGCGCCCGGAGCCCGGCGGCGTCGCGGCGCCCGCGGGAGGGCCCCCGCCGTGGCCGCGGGGCCCGGGATCCCGAGCCTGGGAAAAGTTCCTGCACTTTGAGGAGGAGGAACTACTTGAGGGCGGCGGCCGAGGGGCTGCGCCCGCCCGGGAGCCGGCCCGGGTCTTGGCCACCTTTGCCATCAGGTGTCTGCGGCGGGGCCGTGGCGCATCCGGGCGCCGGAGGGGCTGGCACGCGCGCGCCCCCGGGACGGCCATCCGGCGGCCTCCAGGGCGCTCCTCGGAGTAGCGGATCCCGCCCGCCCGCGGCTGCTCGCCACCCCCGAGGACACCCCGGCGGGACCCGGGGCGCGGACACGTCCACCTCGGCCTTTGCGCTCCTTCGGGCCTGCCGGCCAGCCGGCCCCCGCGCCGCTCTCCTGGAGCTCTCGCCCGCGACTTGCAACTTGGCCTTTTGGATTTGCTCCGCCAGGTGACTAGTGGATATCCCTGCTGGCTGCTGCGGCGACCCGGCTGCCCTTTTGTCTGGTTCTGCTTGACCTCCGGGGAGGCCCTCGTGCGGAGCGTCGCCAAGGACGCCTGTCGGGAAGCGGCCTGGCCGAGACACCTTCAAGCGAAGTGCATGTGTGTTTGCAAACTGCCCTTGGCTGTCGGGAGACGGCGTGGACGCGTCCCGGGGGCGGTGGAGCCTCAGGTCTGGGGGAGGCCGTGTGAGTGACCCGCCGGGGGATCCCCGCAGCGCCGCCCCGCGCCCCGCTGGGCTGCGCGCCAGCCCTGTGCGCCCCCCGCGCTCGCCATGCCCAGTCGCTCGGCGCGCTCCACTCGCGGCCCGCGGGGCTCTGGCGTGTTCTAGCTTCCGAGAGCCCACTTGGACCAAGGGCACCATCCCTGCTGAACCCCTGTCCTCTGTCTCGCGTAACCTGCCGGTTGGAATCGGGTTTGCAGAGGGAGCCGGAGAAAGCGGAGCATTCCCCAGCCCGGCGCGACTGGCCCTGCACGTTCGCGGCCGCAGGGAGCCTCAGCTCTTTTACCGCCAAGTTGATCTTTGCGAGACAGACGCCGCCGACGCGTGATCTGCTCCCCGGCTCTTCTGGGGTCTCCTTGTAGCCTGGGTCAGGCCAGTTGCTTTTGCCGGACCTAAAGTTGCCCCAGGAGCGCCAACCCTGCTGGAGGGGGGCGGTGGGCAGGTGGGAGGCGTGTACCTGTGTCAACTCTGCTGCTTTGAACGTTATCGCTGTTACTTCGTGTTATTTTGTGCACATTTACGCGGACGCTCCGGGCTGCGAGCTTCGCGCCAGGCGCTGGGCCGCAGACACAGCGCGTTGCGCGCGGAGCAGCTCGCTGAAGAGAAAACCCCTGGCGCCAGCGGGCGAGGAGGCGACGGGGGAAGATGCGCGGCGTCGGCTGGCAGACGCTGCCCCTGTCGCTGGGGTTAGTGCTGGCGATCCTGGGCGAGGTGGCGCCGCAGGCGTGCCCGGCGCAGTGCTCCTGCTCGGGCAGCACGGTGGACTGTCACGGGCTGGCGCTGCGCAGCGTGCCCAGGAATATCCCCCGCAACACCGAGAGGCTGTGAGTATGGATTCCCCCCACCCCTCCCCCACCGCGCCGCGCACCCCCTGCCTTGAGCCTGGAGGGCCCCAGAGGCGCGGGGACCTGTCCCTGGAGGTGGCCCCCGCTAGCTCGCGGATACCCGCGCCCGAGGATCGAACTCTCCGGCAGCGGGGAGGGTGGGAGGGCGCTGCCCGGGGAGGGGCCACTGCCCCAGGAGGGGCGGACCCGCCGGCGGCTGCGCTGGGCCGTCGGAGGGCGCGGGTGCCCGTGTGGCCCCGCGCAGCCAGGTGCGGGAGTTGTGTGGGGGCTGCGGATGCGGCGGGATGGGGAACCACCGCGAGCGCACGGCCCAGAGCCAGGGAGGCGCGACTTGGCCCCCCAGACTCGGTGAACGGAGTCACCTTGGCACCGCGCGAGGGGCTGTGTCTGGGCACAGGCTCGGCGCCGGTCGCCTTGGGGGCGCGCGGAGCGGAGAGCGGACCCCGGTGCGGGCGTCCTAGCGGCGGGTCCCCAGAGAGAGAGAAGCCTCCACTCTCTGGTTTGGGGTCGCTCTCCTGGGGATGTGGACAGGGGAGAAGGGTCGTGGGGCGGCCGCGTCCTCCCGAGGGCGCTGCGCCCAGGCCGCGCCGGGAAGGGGTTTCTCCGGACAGCGCAGGGACCCTGCGCAGCCGCCCGCAACTCCTCCCCCGCCCCCCAGCGCCCCAAGGAGGCGGCTGCGGCCGAGGGCCCCCAGGGACCTGTCCAAGGGCGGGTGGTGGTGACTGCAGTGTAAGACCGAGTCCCCTCGTGGAGGCGAAGTTGGGGCAGGCCTCCCTCCGCGCCAGCCGGTCGGGGCGGGCGGCTGCGGCTCCCCGGCGGCCTCGGCTGCCTCTTCCGACCTTTCCAGCTGAGCCCCAGTAACCCCAGTCCACCTTTCTGGCAGTTTCTGCGCCCCTTCACAGGGCAGCGGCGCCGCTTCTCCTCCTCTTCGCGCTCTGCTGCCCGCAGACATCCCCGCCTCCCCGTCTCTGCGAGTCTCTAATGAAGAAGTCATCGCAGACCCCGTGTTGACGGCCCCCGCGCCCCTCGCGGGCACCGTCCCTCCCCCAGTGCAGCCAAGTGGAGCCCGGAGGCCATTCTCTTTGTGCGCGCCGAGGCCGCCGCCCCGCGCTGCCCCGGCGCTCTGGGCGCGCGGCTCTGGCCGGGGCGCGTGGGCCGGCGGGGCGCGCGGGGCGCGGGGCGGTCGCCCCGGGCTGGGTCCGGTGGCCTCCTCGTCCTCGGGGTGAGAGGGCTGCCCCCGGCGGAGATGCCCAGGGCGTAGCGCACGTCTCCACCCGCGCGGCCCACTGCGCTGCCAGCCTCTTCTGAGCTAATGATCAATGTGGTCGCCCGCAGTTTAAAAGCCAGAGTTGAGTCTCCGTGAACCTTTGCAAAAGGCTTCTCGCCCCTGCCTTCACAGGCCGCCCCCCTACTTCTTCTCCCTCCTTTACAGGCCTGTGGCCCTGGGCAAGTTGGGGACCCTAGCAAGGCTGTCTTGTCCAAATGTCCAAATGTGAACTACCACTTTTCACATTTGGGGGTGGAGAGGGGCGGTCATCGACTCAGGTTAATTAAATCTGATAGCTTGTAAGAGGCCCCTATCATGGCAGAACAACTTGATGGTACTTTGCTCATCCTTGAAAGTGGGCTGGGGGACAAGGGGGGGGGGCAGCAGTACAGAACTGGGTCCTAGCACGTGTCATTTCATGCCGTTCAGAAGGGTTTAAAGTGTAAGCACTCACACGTCTTACTTAAAAAGCGTTTGCACTCCGGAAAACAGCAGTTGAGTTTCAGGTTCTGGCGGGGAATGATGCTGGGAGGGATCTCAAGTTTTCAGAAAATAGTTTACTTAGTATACTGGCCTATCCATTTCTATCTCTGGCCAAATAAACACTTTGAGTACGGATTTCAAACCCAGTGTTTTTAAGTCAAAGGTAAAGGAAAACTCAGCTTCCAGGAAGGAGAATGTTGAAACCTCAGCAAAGCTGGGTTTTACTTGAAACGCTGGGAACCAGGGCCAGTTTAGATCTGGACCAAGGATTCCAGAAAAGGGTCTGTTGGGGGAGGAACTGGGTGGTAAAATCTGACAAAAATGTCAGGGCCTGGCGACTGTTTCCCTGATGACTCTGGCTAGTAGATTTCACTTTACAGTCCCAGCTGGGGGCCCCTGAACAACAAATGAAGAGTTTAGTTTTCACACAAACATGGAGTTGTTGGAAGGTAAATGCCTGTGAATGCAAATCTTTGAAGTGAGTCCTTCTGATGGCAGGCTAGCTTTATTTCTTTGCCTCAGAAGTTTAGCCACCTTGCCACCTAAGGACAGGGCTTCTGAATTTTTTTTAAATTTCTTCCTGGATGGTATTGGGGAATTGTTAGGTTAACTTCCTGACCAGGACTATAAGGGGGGAGGTGGGTTTGCCAATGATAGTAAAACAGCAGAATACCTGTGAGATTAATATACAGCTCGTTATAAAAACAAACATTGACAGCACCCCCATACATACGCAAGAGACTGTTTAGGGCTCACGTAATCACTTCTTTTTTTCCTGTCACATGCCAGCAAGCATGGGCTCTGTAAACTTAAGAATCACTTAAAAAAAGATCCTTTCAGATGTTATTTCCTTCTCTGACTTGTACTGCATAAACCACTTTATGTTTAAAGTTCTACTGTAGTTTAGATGTCCCTTTGTTGAACCAGGTATTGATAGAAATAAAACGGAGCTTTCATTTTCTTGTTTCTTCTTAGGGATTTGAATGGCAACAACATCACCCGGATCTCCAAGACGGACTTTGCTGGTCTTCGGCATCTAAGAGTTCTGTAAGTATGTTCTTCTTCTGTGTTTTGAAGAATTCTCTTTTGTTTTTAAGGTTTCCTATTTTTGAGTCATGACAGGTCGCTTTTAAAACAGTCCCAGTGACAGAAACAAAAAATGTTTAGATTTTGGTTTCCTTTTTATTCTTGTTTATCACTGTACTACAACTTTTAATAAAAAGGTAGGGTTTTATTTTAAGACTGGATGCATGCCATAGAAACAATATTATAAAAATGACCTCAAATGTTTGCTCTACCATACCATAAGTGCCTCATGCTTATAAAAATGTAGAATAATTGCTTTCACAATATGAATAAGTAATGTGAGACATTCGATACACTTAGGATTTGAGACTAACTAGGAAAAATTTAAGTGGGCCTGCGTTTTATTACTAATATGAAAATGTTCAGGCTTTTCTAACAAATAGCAATTAGCTACAATTTCTAACATTAAAGTCAAGCCACCCATTTTTGGCAGTTTTAGGAGGAAAAGGTTTTTCTGGAATAATCCATTGGTCTTTTTTTGAATTATTTCCTGTATTTTATGTTTTTGTAGCCATTATAAACTTGTTGCATTGTTACTACTTCTTTAATGAGTTGGATAAATTAGTGGTGAGTACACCATCATTTGAGATTCAGAGTCTTATAAAATTGTTCTTACCCACAGCTTTGTAAATGTTTGCATCACAATGAACATGTACTCTTGTTCATTGTGTATTCAGTGGCCATCTTTTAGAGGAGACATTTTGACCATTATAAACTCCTGCAGTTTCTGATGTGTCCTTAAGTGAATTGAAGTCTATTTGATGAATTACTATATATTGACACATTTGGGTAAGAATTCAGTTCCCCCAAAACAGCCCACATTGCTGTCGTGCTTTAGGACTTAACTGTCCTTTAAGTGCAGAGTTAGAGAACTAGGAAATTTTGTGAGAAACTGTGCTAGCATTTTTAAAGAGAGTTTTGTGATATGGACACTATTTCCCCTTCTGATTCATTTGATATTGAATCTCAAACCCGCGTCATAGTTGTCATAGTTAACATTACAAAGGGAAGGTGGTTCCAAGTTTTCAGTTGCTGAATTGAAACTTACTCAGATGGTGAGCTGTAACATTAAGACTCCTGGTATACTTTGCATTTCAGTCAGCTTATGGAGAATAAGATTAGCACCATTGAAAGAGGAGCATTCCAGGATCTTAAAGAACTTGAGAGACTGTAAGTATTTTCAATTCCAAACTTATGACAACATTAACTATAGCTTTAAAGACACTTGCATTTCAAGGATCCTGTCTTCAATTTCATGTTGGGTAGTCTTGAAAAACTGACAGGAAAAAGAGGGTGAATAAGTGGTTTTGGGAATCATTTAGAAATGGTGGGATTTTTGCATGAAGAGTACTAACTTGTAGTAAAACTCAAATATACAGATTGACTTTCCTGAAACATTTATTCCCTTTGACAGCCATGGCTTTGCTGCTCAGAGGTGTACATGCTTTTCATATTGTTCATGTAGGTTTTTTATATGCTAATGTGTGAAGAAAGGTGGTGTTTTATTTGCATTTGTGGTGGATTATGGAAAAGAAGAGGTTTGCTAATAGTTATTTTAATTCCCATGCCCTTGCTTTGTGTGTCATTAGTGACCTCTGAAGAACAATTTTAAATTCTTTGTGAAAAAGACTTGCTTCCTGATATTTGACTCTTAAGATGAACATTGCTAATAGCTGCTGTTTATAGTTTGATTTCATTATTTTATATTGGCTTGCTAAATATTTCCACTGGAAAAGGAATTTCAAGAAATGAAAGTAAGAATTATGTTATCAGCGAGTGGATATTTTTGCACTGGCTCTTTTTCCCAAGAAGAACAATTGTAGACTTTGGACTTTAAAATATATTTTTATTTTTTTCAGACACAAAACCTTCTGGATTGATAGACATTATTTAAAGGTCATTGTTGCTTTATGTCTACAATGTATATCTACAAAAGACAAAATCTCTGTCTGAAGGAGTTAGACTATGTTGTAGATTTTGTGATCCAAAGTACGAATTTGGTCTCCTATGTCTTGATAATTCCAGCTTAATAAGGTTTGCATTTTAAGGGCAAGCAACTGCTATTGAAAGTAGCAACAATTATTTTCATAAGTTTCCACGTCTGCTTCAATAGTCACTTTAGGTAAAAATAAAAATTTTACTTAATGAAACATACAGTTCATTTTAGACATGGCACACATTCAGATTTATTAGACCCAAGGGTGGGCGTTAATTCTGTGCATTTGTCTGTAAGTAGAAAAAGGGCTTGTAAACTGTAAGATACTTGTGAATACACTATGCAGGCTACATTTTTACCACAAGTAACATGCAACATAGAGATGTCTATAGTTTATTTTACTAGAAAACTTTGTCCATGATAAAGATCGCATTATAGGGAATATTTGTGGGATTCGAAATAAATTTAAAATCACTATTCGGAGCTGGTTTTGAGGGGCACGAGGGAGAAGAAAAATGAGCTAAACATTTGGTGAAGTTCATAACACAGTTCCTAAGGTCACAACCTATCTCTTAATCTATAAGAGTACTCGAACATACGTATTCTTTGATCTCTCTCGTGGACACATGTGAATAGATAATTCCTAGCGCGTACCTTGCAAAGGTATTTTTCAAAGGTAATTTTAATTCACTCATCAAAAATGTTATCACTGTAACTTCAAGGTTTGGGGAGATGAATACATAATTTAAAATGATCACTTACACAACAGCTTTTTAAGGAGTAACTTTTGACCATCCCATGGAACAGATGTACTTTGACTCTGAAACAACTTCCAAATTATGAGGAGGTCTCAGTGTCTTTTCAGAAGCCTCTGTTTTGGTTACATTACAGTTTTAAATGTTTCCGAAACACTAGAACAAAACAAACTTCCTCCCTGTTTTTCAAGTGACTTTGGAGTATCATTTGAACTTTCATCTTGAATAAATTAACTTTTTTCCAAAAATTATTAACTAGATGCTTTCTGATCTGAAACTTGATTAGAGCTGTAAGTAGGTACTAGTTTTTTGACTTTTACTTCCCCTGGGAATGTCACTTCATCTCAGAACAATTTTCTACTCTACTAAGAGGCAGTCAGATGTTTGGGGGGGTAAAGGAGGATTTGTAATTTTGAATGAAAACTAATATATATGCAGGACTTCTTTAAATCACCCCAGCTGTTGGTCGAGAGCAAATATTTCATATTTGTGAGGAAAAGCTGAGAAAATTCCTTTTGTTTACAACTGCCAAGTCCATCTGATGGAAGCACATTGTTATCTGACAGCCAATTCATCTCCTTGGGACTCTGGAATTCAAAACTATTTCTTAGGAACATTGCGGATATACTTTTCAAATATTTATTTTCTTTTTACATACATGAAATGGCAAGGTAGTTTTGCTAAAGAATGCATTTAAGTTGTTGTGAAACAGATTCTTTTCAGTTTTGTTCAAGATATTGTTTTAAGAAATATAAATAATAAAAAAAATTACATAGAGAGTTCCATAATCAAATCACTATGGCCTGTGGTTTATATCCTTATTTTTGTAGGTGGTGTCATTAGCATCACATGCTTTTTTTTTTTCTTTTCAAATGCTGCAAGAGACAATGTAAGAGCTAGGAAGTATCAATGAATTAACTTTTAACTAATTATATGTTCTGCTGTCTTACGTGCTCCCAGCATATTAGATGTAAAGTTTTCAATTCAGAGTCTAAATTATGAAAAGATGTATAAATGCAGGTTTATGTTGTAAATGACATTTATACAATATATATAGTAGTTCATCTTTATTCTTTGTGTGAAGAACAAAACAAAATAAAAACATGAATTTTATTTGTGTGCAATTTATGGTTCTAATTATTTTTCATTTTAAAATGACAGAATCAAAATAAGTTCAAATATTTTGTGAATATTTTAAAATTATACGTTTTTTCTTTTTTTTTGTTGATAGTTTAACTTGAGCTAGAGAAACAAGAAAAATCCAAAAATAAAAGAAATCCTATACCTTTTTAGAAATCCAACTTTTAATCTGTAAGAAACAAGATCATGTTATGAAATGGAACTTAACTTTGGCATGGAATGAAAAAGCCATTCTTTGTAAATATAAGCATTATAAGTATAAAATGGAAGATTTTTTTCCACTTCAGAGAATCTGTGAAATACAAGATTATCGATCAAAATGTTGAGAAATATATGGGTATTAACATCTTCACGTACTCCCTTCCTCCCTTTCTACCTTCCTCCTCACCTGTTTTTCTAGCATCCCTGCCTCCCTCTGTCCCTCTGTCCCTCCTCCCTTCTTCCTGTTGTATGGAAAACACCATGAGATGATTTGTTCATCACGAGAATATGGTTCTGAATCACTGTGAAAGCAATAAGTTTTAATCACGCCTACACACCGTGAGCACACACTACTTCCTGCCTTGCCAGTTTGCTGCTGTACCCCTAGACTTCACGTGAGCAGAGTGCAGAGTGGCAGCCTTCCTGGGATGCTCAGTGATGCAGTAGCACCTGCTTACCTGGGATGAAAGCCTTGAGAATGGGCACCACATAGGTTGTATTCCCAGGTCTCATGTTGCTTAATCAAACTGTTCAAATGACACAGAATGTAATGAAGGGACTAGTTAAATCAATGGATATTAATTAAGAAGAATAAACTACATTGAAGCTACATTGAAAAATTGGAACATATATGACATATATTTTTCTTTTATATACTTTACAGAAGATGCCTGCAAATAAGTCTCCATGCAGAATTATTAATTATCGATTCAAGGTATTTCTAGGCTGGTGCATAATGGCCTGGGATATAAATATATAATATATATGTATGTACAGGGACCAAAAACTTGTGAGCTTGTCTGAAACTTGCAGCTTTTCATAGGATTATGCTGCAGCCATTAAAGTTCTGTTTATGGCCTTTTAAGGAGATCCAGGCCACTTCTGGGCTTTACTAGTGAGAATCATCTTATTTTTGCAAATATCTTGCTAACACAAATACAAGAGTGTGAGAAAGTGATTGAAACTTTACAGGGTTGTCAAAAAAACCTTTTGGATCTTTTGTCATAGCTGTAAGGAGATGCTTATATGCGCATTGAAATATGGTTTATGCCTTGATTATGTTGAGGAGAACCAAGAGCATACCATAGAAAATCTAGGTAGATTTTTTTCATTCACTTTCTGATCATCTTATACCTGTATAAGGAAATTGCAGAAGTGTAAAGGTAAGGGCTTATACTGGTCTTTTCTACTGATAACGGTGTGCTTCTAAGACAAACAGCTTTATCCTCTAAAAGTTTTAGTATCTTTCATCTGAAAACTTGGCATTTGAAATTACATTTTGTTCTATCCTCTTTGTCATTTGATGTTCATTTTTTTCTCGAAAAATGAGTCCTGAAATCATGACTGAAATAAAGACATGTAAGCATCCTGGAAAATAAACCTGCTCACTGAGCTCTCTTCAAGTCTCTACTAAGTTGCTATAAAGAAAATACTCATTTCAGTTTCGAAAATGTTTTACCACAGAACCTACATTGGATGGATTTGCATTTGTGTTAGCAAGAAGTGGCCTGTATCTCCTTAAAAGGCCATAAATAGAACTTTAATGGCTGCAGTGTAATCCTATGAAAAGCTGCAGGTTTCAGACAAGCTCACAAAAGTTCTTGGTCCCTGTAAGTACATACATACATTATTGCACTCTTGTGAAAGAGTCTCTGAAAAGACAAGTTTACTTCTGAATCACTGTCTGCACGCACAACATCAGTCACCAGCCTGGGTCAGGCTGAGTCCGTCGTGTGCTGGGGTTAGTTGTCAGTTGCTGCAAGCGTTCAAGTGGAGAGCATGTTGGGCCCAGGTCTGCGGGAAAGCACCCCTTACCCCTCTTCATCATGGATATAACGCATCCCTCTTCTGACTAATCCTCCCAAGTTTTCAGGCAACACCCAACACTTCCTAACAGGGCTAATCTCCCCAGAAAGACTGGGAGCCCATCTCAAAAGGATTGTTTCCTGGTGTCTTTACAGCCAAGTTTAAAGTCACTGAGATATTTTCTTGGGAAAGTTTCTTTAAGAACACATCAGACTTACTAACAGGCAGTGCGTAGACTACATGAGATAAAAATGCTCTAGATGATCAAGCATATGCTTCACGTAATCTAGGAAGCCTTTAAATGTCCCTTATTCTCACCTGTTTCTAATACA